AATTTTGAATTCAAATCTTAACCCACATGTGCACCATCGGATTCCAAGGGGCTAAATCCATCTAGGTTTAATTTATTTTGCATTTAGGGTTGAATTTGAGTCACACATGTTCAGCCAAGGGTGGCGCCAACCATGTGACTCAAAATGCAACTTAAATGCAAGCTAAATTAAACCTAGTTTTGCCTAATCCTCTTAAACAAGTATTCCTCCTTAATTCCTATACTAATGACCTAAATACAGTGGTCAATGAAATATAATGAATAGAAAAAATTACAAGAATGAAAATGAGCCCAATATTGGGTGTCAAAAGCCCAAAGGCCCATGAAACCCAATTCTAGACCCTATAAGCCCAAAGCTCACAATTCCTAATCTATGGTCCAAAATACAAGACCAAAACAAAGTAAATTCCTATTCTATGGATATGCAATAAAAAGTGGTGTCAAGAAGGTATGTGCCTTCTTCTCATAGCACTCCTCAAATCATTCCAATAGGCTATAGGAGGGTCATTATGAAGTCGCCTTTCTTTTACCAAGGTTGTCCACCAATACATAGCTTGTCCTTGGAAAGCTAAGGTGGCTAAGGGAAATTTTCTTTCCTCACCTACTTGATGACAAGTGAAGATTTGCTCCACTTTCATTTCCCAGTCTAAGTAGGCATCTACATCTTCTTTTCCATGAAAGTAAGGGAGATCAACTCTTGATTCCCTAACCTTGGGTTCTTTAATGACTCTTCTAGGTATGGGTTGGTAATATTCATCTACATTCAAACTACCCACATCCTCTTGGCTTGTGGAGCCATTGGAACTTTTAGTAGAACTTTTTTTACTCTTTTTCTTTTTAAGTTTTTCTAAAAGTTTTGCTTCTTGTTGCTTAATTTTGTTTATCTCTTCCTCAAGAGCAACAAGTTGTACTTCTCTTTCAATCTTTTCTCTTTCTTTTTGAAGTACCACTTGTTGTCTCCATAGTTTTAGTGCCTCAACCTCCTTAACAATTTGAGAAAAACTTTTAGGAGATTCAAGATCACTATCACTTTGAGAAATATGACTCATGATTAAGCAATAAGAAGTTTATATGATATGCAAAAGAAACAAAATATTTTTGGTCTTTTCTAGGAACAAAAATAACACTTAGAAGTCTAAGTGTACAAATTGCACTATCAAGAGAGGTGAGCTACTAAGAGCCACTTAATAACCAAGCTTTTTCATGTGGAAATCACTAAACTCCCTTGTGGTATTTTCAATTCCACAAAACTTTTCACAAAATTTTTTATGTTGAATGTTTTTCACAATTGTTTTTAAAGATAACTAAACGTGAACAAGTAACTCTACACAATGCTAGTCGAAATAAGGCAATAAAGTAAACAAATTAAAGAACAAACAACTCAAAGGAAATAAGATTAAGTAACTAGTCGTTTTGTCCTAAGTGGAAGCTTGAAACATATGAAATTTCCAAGCCACTTCCACTAGTACTACACGTGAGTGAGCTACCAAGGGTTAGATATACCTGACTAGCTTCTTAATACTCCCTCCCAGCTTTACAAATTGATTGAAAATACAAGAGAAATTGAAAAAATTTAAACTACACTAAAAACAAATTTTGTGGCGGCTTTAGTGACCAATTAGTGACAGATTTGTTGTCCAAGTTTTCCCACACTTGTTTAAGTGTTCCAATCCGCCACTAATCCTTGTTTATTGTTGCTCCTGGACCCTGCACAAATAACACAAGCAAAAGATGAATGTAGGTTGCTCACAAGTTGGATGGAAAGATCACTCTTGTGAAGGTAGGTTTAGGAATTTTCGGTCACTAAATTAGGTCAAGATTTCAAGTCTTTTATGTCCAATTCCTTTCCTACTATTGTTGAGTCAATGTTTGGTCCTTAAGCAAGGATTTGAGGCCACTTCCAGCACTGAATTTTTAGTCAAAGAAAACTAGACAAACAATAAAAGCACAATTTAACAAGCTTATACCAAAAATTGAAGATTTAAAGTGTTTAAGACAAGACTCAAAGATATCCAAAAATGAAAGTTGAAAATTAAGACTCCAAAGAAAACTAGCACACAATTAAGAAGGTTCCTAGATAGGCACTAGAGTAGATTAACAAATTAAAATTTTTTTGGAAGAAATTGAATAAGTAGAAACAAACTAGTAGTCCAATTAATTTGTTGAATTAAGTGTATTTTCCTTTAATTGTTCTTCTAGGCTTTTCCTTGCTCATATATATATATATATATATTTTTAATTCTTTTCTTTTTCTGGATTCAAATATATTTTCCAGAGAAGATACTTGCCTTTTGATTTCAAAATTTTCACAATTCCAAAGTATAGAAACCGGATCTACTAGAATGAAAAATTTCAAGTGAAAATTGAAGAACTAGTGCACTAGTTTTTAAACTTTTGGTTGGATTCTTTTGTTTTTTTTTATAACTATTTTGAATTGTTATGCTCTGTATTTTCTCTGTTTTCCAGCAAGCAAGCTTTTAAAATTTGAATCCAAAACAATTAGTGCACTAGAAGTAAGATGATTCACTTAAAATTTTCAAGTTACAAAAGATTGATTCAAGAGTAATATGGAAAGTAATTTGAAAACTCAAGTACACAATGGAAACCTAACACTAAGAGTTCACCAATGATCTAGTGATGAACATGAACTCAAATATGTAAATGGAAAAGCAAACAAGCAAGGCACAATTAAAGCAAAACAAGTCTCGGCCAAAACTATAAAATGACTCAAAAGTGTTTAGCATATGAATACAAGCATATCTTGAATACTTTTGACATTTTAAAGGACTAACATGACATGACAAACTAAGATTCAAAAATTTAAAATCAAAACACATGCATACCAAAGATATAGCCGAATCAAAACAAGTAAATAAGAATGACTCAAACAAAATAAAATCAAGCACAAGTTGAATCCTATTTGTGTTGATTGCGGATTGAAACTCAAGATACAATCAACAATTGGATCTATGGACAAAATGATTTCAAAAATTTATAGATCCGAATAGAAACTCAATGTGTGACAAACAAGAACACAAAACACACAAAACAATCGGTCAAATTTAAATGAACTTATCTCCAAAGAAGCACCATGCTCTAGATACCAAAATTGATGGAGAAAACTAGGAGAAATGATTGACGAACTCCTCCTTGCTTTCACCTTGCGTAGGATCTCCTCTTTGAAGAATAAATGACCGAATGAAGAAGGCTAGAAGAATGGAAGATTTCGGAACAATTGAACCTAAACTATGGATGGAAGTATCCAAGCTTAAGCATCAAAAGATTGCTCACTTCAAAGGTAGGAAACTAAGCAAGGTTCCTAGGATTTGAAGGCACTCTCTCTCTCGGTGACTCTTGAAGAATTTGGCTGAAAAAATATTCAAAAATTCTATATATCAAAAGTGATTAAATGAAGCTAAGAATGATGCTTTTATAAGGCTAGATTTAGGAAGCACTTGGCGCCAATGTGGAGGCTTCACATGTGGCGCCAAGATTTGAATTCAAATTTGAATTTTGAATTCAAATCTTAACCCACATGTGCATCACCGGATTCCAAGGGGCTAAATGCATTTAGATTTAATTTATTTTGCATTTAGGGTTGAATTTGAGTCACACATGTTCAGCCAAGGGTGGCGCCAACCATGTGACTCAAAATGCAGCTTAAATGCAAGCTAAATTAAACCTAGTTTTGCCTAATCCTCTTAACCAAATATTCCTCCTTAATTGCTATACTAATGACCTAAATACAATGGTCAATGAAATATAATGAATAGGAAAAATTACAAGAATGAAAATGAGCCCAATATTTGGTGTCAAAAGCCCAAAAGCCCATGAAGCCCAATTCTAGACCCTATAAGCCCAAAGCTCACAATTCCTAATCTATGGTCCAAAATACAAGACCAAAACAAAGTAAATTCCTATTCTATGAATTAAAAAGTGGTGTCAAACAAGTAAAGCCCAAGTGAGGAGCACCCTAGGCCCACCAAGCCCATTGGGCCCACTAAGCTCTGAAGCAGTCAAGTCTTAAAGTAATCTCCTGGCCATTGCTCTAGTGGTTGGACCCTTGGTCCATGCTCTTCCATCAGATATATACTTATCCGCATGTATCCGTACCTGTATCCATTTTTGTTTTAAATTTATAAAAATTCTTATTCTAAGTTGAAATTCTTGTTTTTTATATTTTTTTAATTAATTTCTAAGTCAATACGAATATACCTAATATCCAATAAAGATAGAGATAAAAACACAAATTCTATACTTGATGGGTATGAAAATGAGGATAAGTAGAGTATGGAAATATCCCACTACAATAACTATGGAAATATTGAAACCCATATTCACTCTATCCTATTGTCATTCCTAACCCTGAGTAGGATATATCCCTTTATAATAATTAATTTCTAAAAATAAGGTAATGTCATTATTAACATTTTTTACGATTCTTTCTTAGAAAGAAAAATGGTATGTTGCTGCCAATTTTTAAAAAAATACTTACTGATAAAATTTAAAATCTGAATGTTTGATACCCTAGATCCAAGAATAAATAAAAAAAAACAAAATCTTAGCAAACTATTACAATAATAAATCAAACATCATTTTTTAATAGAAAAGGTACAAAACAATGATAATATTTTCAGTAAAAGTCTTGAGTTGATCAAAATATTACTATCACATCACATAAAACATTGAAATGTGAGTGGGATGAAGTCCTTAGTATTAAATAAAACAAAACATTGATCAAATTAGTTGCTATTTTCTAATATCTACTTTGTTAAAAATCATAATCTATAATTTCTTTATTAAAGGATATAATTACACTTTACCAAGTTACAAATTAAGAAAGTCTACCTGGACTATAAGACTGCATTTTTTTATTAGTGCAAATTAAATTATATTAAATCTTAAACAAATTTAAAACTTGTCAAATATTAAAACTATAATATATACTATAAATAACACAATCAAAATGCTGGTATATTTAAAACATTGAAACTGACTTGGGTGGGATGTGCCAGGCCCCTGCAGTAGTGTAAGGCACGGACGACACATGAGAAGCCCAGTAGCAAGCTACTGTGAAGGGCCCTCTCCTTAAAAAATAAATTTAATACCATGTGAGTCAATGATTCACATATCAGATATTAAACTGATAAGAACAGATACTACACTTGATCTTAGCCAAAAGGCTGAGAAAGGTATGACTTGAAATGTAGCAGATGATTATGTTTTATTGTTGGCTTCTGCAAATGTGCTTGGTGTTTGCCCAGTGTGGGACTTATTAATAATATCACAACAAAAATATTACAAACTCATTTAAGAGTCTAAGACTACGCTTGTTGGAACCTGAAGGCTTGTCTTCAGCCTATAAAGAAAATGGGCTTCAAAACTCTTGTATCCATCACTACAAAAATAAAATCACCTCGACATGTTTAGGAACAAAAAAGCATAAAAAGCACTCATTATTAACCCAGAGGAACAGTAGATAAAAGGCACACTGGAAACAATATTCAGATCATGGATCGCCATTGGCTGTGACAAATGACAATGCAACAGTGGAAGTTAGTATGACAGCAAATAAGATGACAACAGTGTGAGAATACTAACCAACTTCGTGATTAGTTTTAGGCAATAGCTGCTTCATTGCAGTTTGTTTGAAGATACACCAAAAATGCTTCAACATCTTATAGTTTGTATTTCCTTTGTACAGAAGAAAGTTACGAACTGATTGATGCATCATCTTATTCGATCCTCTCTTAAGTCATGTCATTGACACGGGAGATTAAAGCAACACAATTGCAGCTGTTGTAGGGCCAAAGAAATATAATTCTTTGAAGTGATGAGTTACTCTCTACCTTGTCTGCACAAGTTAAACTATCTTATAACTTATTGAATATGCTAAAACTAGTTGCTGCAGGTAGACATAGACCAATCTAATAACTTAACCAACCAGCATTATGCAGAATAGTATAAACCACTAACAAACTATGTGTTGTAAATGCATGATCTATTCATTCTTCTTGATATAATATAACATTGACAAATCTCAACACCTTGCTACCACTAGTAATACTACCTAATTGAATATGTCAAAGCTAACCGCTGCAGATAGACCAACCAAACTAAGTATAAATACAGAATTATATAGTCTTTAAAAAAGGTATAAGGAAGTTTGAATTCAAAAGAGCCAACTTACCTTACATGTACGTTCGAGACTTGACTTACAAAATAGATAGATTCACAGCTGAATCATATTGGATTCAATTGATAGCTAAAAATTCTTTTATTTTCCTTTCATTTTCGGATTGGTCATGCATTTGTATAATTTTAGAGTCTACCAGTATCAAACACTTCTGAGTTCGGAACCCTAAACCCCAGCAACGCTAGACAATTTCCTCTAAATAATTTGGGTGCTTCGTAGAAAAAACTAAAGATAAGTTACTACTACAGTATTACTGACACTGTCACCAAGATCATAATAGTCCCACATGGAAAGTTTTTATTCAATGAAACGAGTTTATATTAACTGGAATTTTGCACATGGTCACGACCTTACTTGAACAGGATCTGTTCTATAGGCTCGTACCTCTGTATCCTTGAGTTCTAAGGAGACAGGAACCTACGTCTGGTGGATGAACCATGACCATGAGATCAGAGCGTGATTAATGGCCTGATGAGCTTCCCTGTGGGAGGTGTGTCGTCTGGGGCCGTAGAGGATCGTTCTCAGACAGTTAATGGCTGAGATGGTCTCATGGTTGTCTGACAGACTCAATCATTTTACCAATTCTACAAATTTTTCTTTATACATTCTTTTGTTATTGAAAAAAGACCCTAAAAACCTGAGAGTGAGTTAATAGTATAGCAAAATATTGTTGTAATCATTGAAAACATTTGGAAAGCATCTTGAAACACAAAAAAAGTATATATAGAAAAAGAAAAGGAACAGTTGTAAGGTTGGGTGTGTGGTATTTGCATGTATTAGTGAGTGTCTCTCTTGTTATATATAGTTCTACCAACGAGAAGTCAAAAAGTCTTGGCTTCATTCAGCACTCAGCAGAGCAGAGGGGAGTCCTAACTGCGGAATTTCATACTGTTCAAGAGGACACTTGGACTATTTTGGGCTTTCAACAAGGCCCATGTCATCACAAAATATTCTTAATATTTTTTTATTCTTTAATTTAATATCTCCAACTTTCCATTTATCATTTTTTTTTCACACACTTTCTTCTCTCTTTTAATTTTTACATATATCTTTTCTTTCTCTCATTCTCCATTTATTTCAGTAGTTAGTTTTAGTTTTTTCAATTTTCACATTTTTTTCTCTCACTTCTTTCACTTTTCATAAGCATGTGTGATTTTCTTGACATTTTCTACCAAGCCAAATGTGTATTTTTTTTTTCAACATTTCCTCTTCTTTTACACCTCCAAAAGTCTTAACATTAAATTTAATACTATGAAAAAAATATTTTAGAACATTAATTTCACTATTTTGGAAACTAGTATTCTGAAAAATATTTTTCATAATTGTATTTTTTAAATACTTTCAAAAAGTACTTTTTGAAACAATAAATTTAGTATTCAGAAAATTACTTTTTTTGAAAATATGTAAAATAGATTTGGAAATAACTTTATGAAATTATGTACATATTATATTTCCAGAAGAAAAAAAAACTTTTTGGAACACTTATTTTAGTGTTCCATAAAGTATTTTTCAGAATAGTAAAATTAATGTTTTGGAAAGTATTTTCTAGAAGTGTGTTATGTTATATAATTTCATAAAGTTATTTTCAAAACAAAAAATTTAATTTTTTGGAAAGTATTTTTTAAAAGTATGTTAAAAACACATTTCTGAAAAATAATTTCGAGAATATTAATTTTACTTTTCTGAAAAGTACTTTTCTGAAACACAAATTATTTGATGTTGTGTTTTAGACATGTAAATAGGAGAAATATTTGAAGAAAAATTGCATATTTGGCTCAATATGTTTAACATTGTCGAAGAATTCACATATGCCTGTAACATTATTAAAAACTAGTTCTACATATCAAGTGCATGTGAAAACTAAAAAAGAAGAGATGGGATAATAGTGTGAAAACTAAAAAGGGAGGGAGAAAGAGAGTAATGTAAAATCGAAATAATTAAAACTACCTACTAAAACAGGTAAAGAGTAAAAGAAAGGTAAATGAATACATGTAAAAACTGAAAAAAGAAAAAAAATCACTGTGTGAAAAAGGAAAAGAAAATGCTAAATTGAACAATATTGAATGTGTCAAATTAAAAATATTTTAGGAATAACTTTTTTTAATAAAATAGGTATACTTATAAAAAAAATAAAAATAAAAAAGAAGAAGAAGAGAGATGCATATATCATGAGGTAATAATATTCCTTTTTCTATTTATTTCTATATTCTTTTCGTGTTTGAGGTAATAATGTTTAGAATGATTACAACAATGTTGCACCAACTTGTTTAAACTTTGCACCTCCTATCTTTTTGCTTTTTATTTTTATTTTTATTTTTATTTTTGTTTTATTTTGATAAAGATACCCATGACGGAAAGTATTTATATTCTCTATATTCATACATAATATAAACTAGTTTAGTTTGTGTAGTTTAATTAATTAATTATTTTTGTACAAGAGGCACCCTCCCCTCTTTAAATGAAAAAAAAAAAAACTATTTAGAAAAGATCATGAAAGTCCTTTCAAATCCTGACATAACCAAAACATAAGTCCTTTGACTCTTTAGAAAAATATTTATGATGTAATATATTTATTATACTAAATATAATTATATTAAGAGATTGATTAAAAAATAATACATATCTTATATTATTAATGAATTTTATAATTTGAAAAAGATATATTCATAAATTAGATAAATGACATGATGTATTTAATTATTATTATTATTTAATATTTAGTTATATTACTACAGAAAAATCAGCTCTCCTTTGATAGTATTCTGTCCTTGCATATAAAACTCCACTCTAAACCTTTAATATGGTATGTTCATAAACTTCATTAAAAGCCTAATAGATAATGAACAAATATTCAATTAACACGGAGTATGATAAATTATTTAACTAAACAATACACGAATATGAGTGAATATAAACATAAGAAAATTATGAAAAAAAAGGGGAACATATAGGAAGTAATTTACTTGAAAAAAACAACCGAGTCATCATAGTTATGCTTTATCTCACGTTCGAGAAAAGTGAAAACATTATCTCATGATTGAAGCATTTAGTACGTACCATATCACATAAAACCCACGTTAGAAATATGGAGAACAATTGAAGAAAAACAATATGGTAGCCATCAAAGATTGATTGGCATAAGGTGTAATTAACAACCTAATGAAGAAAAAAGTCATGTTAACCCAAAAAAAAAGTCTTATTAACTATACTTTTCACCCGCAATAGAAAAACGTGTTACCAGTGATAACTCTTCTATTTCTACATTTTCTAAATTTTTCATGACTTCCTAGATTTACGGATATGCTGTGTAAATATGTAATTATGAGAGTGTTTGGGAGTTTTTTTTTTTTTTTTTTTTTTTTAA